CCCTCCATCATTCCCTTTCCATCCCTCCCTCCCTTCATCATTCCCCCTCTCTATCCCTTCCTTCCCTCCCTCCATCCCTGTCATTCCTTCCATCATTCTCTCTCTCCGTCCCTCTCTCCATCCTTCCATCCCTGTCATTCCCTCCCTCCCTCCATCCCTCCCTCCCTCCCTCCCTCCCTCCCTCCCTCCCTCCCTCCCTCCCTCCCTCCCTCCCTCCCTCCCTCCCTCCCTCCCTCCCTCCCTCCCTCCCTCCCTCCCTCCCTCCCTCCCTCCCTCCCTCCCTCCCTCCCTCCCTCCCTCCCTCCCTCCCTCCCTCCCTCCCTCCCTCCCTCCCTCCCTCCCTCCCTCCCTCCCTCCCTCCCTCCCTCCCTCCCTCCCTCCCTCCCTCCCTCCCTCCCTCCCTCCCTCCCTCCCTCCCTCCCTCCCTCCCTCCCTCCCTCCCTCCCTCCCTCCCTCCCTCCCTCCCTCCCTCCCTCCCTCCCTCCCTCCCTCCCTCCATCCTTCCCTCTCTCCATCCCTCTATCATTCCTTCCCTCCATCTCTCCCCCCGTCATTCCCTCTCTCCTTCCTTTGCTCTTATCTTGCCATCTCCTGCTCCGGCCGTCTCTGTCCCACCAGCTCCTGGTCTTCATCACTCTCCTCTCACTGCTGCATCCCTCCATCCATCCTTCCGTCCATCCCTCCATCCATCCATCTCTCCATCCATCCATCCATCCCTCCATCCCTCCATCCATCCCTCCCTCCCTCCATCCCCCTCTGCATCCCTGTATCTCTCCCTCCATCACCGTATCCATCCCTTGCTGCATCCCTCCATCCATCCCTCTACCATCCTTCTCTACATCCCTCCATCCCTGTATCCCTCTGTCCCTCCCTCCATCCATCCATCTCTCCCTGCATCCCTGAATCATTCCCTCCATCCCTCTCTCCATCCCTGCATCCCTCCCTCCACCCACCTTTCCGTTGCGCTGTCCCTCTCTCCAGCCTTTATCCTTCCTCCATCCCCCTGTCCATCTGTCCCCCTGTCCCTCCATCCTCCTGTCCCTCTGTCCCCCTGTCCCTCTGTCCCCCTGTCCCCCCTGTCCTCTGTCCCCCCATCCCCTGTCCCCCAGCCCACTCCCC